AAATAAGAGATGAAGCTTTTAGACCTTGTAATAAACTTGTAATAAAACAATAAAATTCATGACATAATTTGGAACTAAAGAGGGAGCTAGACCTTTGTTAAGTGCAAAAATAAACTTCAAGAGGTTATTGTGTAAAAATAAATTTGAAGAGCAGCGGCTCGGCAGCCCATTGAACACCTAAATTCCCAAATACACACCAAAAGGTTCATCTGCTGATACAGACCACATCAACTGTGCACACAGACCACATCAAATGTGCACCAAAAAACAAATGAAAAGGAGAACAAGAACGGTTGGGCCAATATTGACGATGAGTTCAACTAAGCACACAACAACCCTCAATACACCAAGCATAAAGCAAATGCAAACACCACATTGTCATTCAAACATTACAGCACCATTAAAGCAAAATCAAATAAACCAATTCATAAAGATATTTTAATTGAACTCAAAATACAAATTTTAACTAAAAAAACCCTAAAAATTCTGTAATTTCGGACCAAAAACCCAAAATCATGCCTAACCCTTTTCGGACCAAATACCCTAAATCGGACCAAGAATTCTGTAATTTCGGACAATGAGAGACGGAGAGTACCGTGAGGCCCACGACGTTACAGAGGCCGAGAGAGATAGCCGACGAGAGAGAGAGTACAGAGAGTACCGTGAGGCGGACGGGTTCTGAAATTTACCGCCGATGAAGATGGTGAAATTTGTCGCCGATACAGAGAGAGAGTACACGAGCCTCGTGCGGTTACAGTGAGAGAGATATATAGACTGTAAATTTTCTTCGATTCAACGACGAAGAGAGGGAGGAGACAGAGAAAGAAAAAAAAATCGAAGAACAATGATGCTGAGGATAATTGGATAATTTCTGTTAAATGTTAAAGGTTATGATGAAATAGTTTTGTATATGAAGGATTGTTATAGAAATAATTTAGATGTGAGGACTTAAAGATAAATAGAATTGTAAATTTATAATTTTTTTTAATTTTTAATGACATAAGGGTATTATAGGTTTTTTACAAGTATAAGGAGGTACGAGGTTGGTGCGAGGGTGGTACGAGGCAAAATAGAATTTTCGTTACCTCGTACCAACCTCGTACCTTAATCTAATGGTTCATATTGATTTTAAGTCAATCTAAAGGTGATATAGAGAGAGTACCTAATGTTAGGTAGGTACGAAGGGTACCTGACAATAGACGATCCCTACTAAGTATTATATTATTCCTTGTACTAGTTTGTCATTTCTTCCTCTTCAGAGAGTTATGATGAAGATTAGGAAACGACCCGCTAAAAACTTAAAAATTATGTGATTTATGTTAGTTTAAATTTTGTGAACTCATGTGTGGTTATTTGTTGTGTTGAACTATTGTTGTCACTATTATTATTAGCATACTGCAAATACTTTTTTTTTTAAAAAAAAAAAAAAAAATTATGTATGTATGTATCAAGGTTACGATTTTAGCGAACAGCAAATCATTTTTGGTGGTTAAATTTGGACCACACTAATATATAAACTAAGCACTCAAGCTATTGATTATTAGGAGTATTGATTAAGGATTTATCCCTCACAAATCCCTGTCCAACTGACGCGAGCAGTGCAGCTCAACTTTGCATTTGTCTACCATTCGCCGGCCCTAATATAATTTTACATGTATGTGAGTTACGTTATAATAATAACAATTAATTAATTAGTAGTTTAAAATGAACAGAGGTTAAGAAGTAATCAAATCGCGACAAACTAAGTGTGATGGATGATGGGGAATGAATATGACAGATCCCATGTTAGCACATGACATGGTCTTTCTATGACAGGACACACTTTCATTAATAAAGGATTGATGTATTCAGTCCTAACAAACATCTCCCATAAAATAAATAAATTATTGTATTTACCATATCATACGAAATCTTTAAATGCTAAGAATTAAATCGGTGATATCTTCCTCTCTATATATAATGCCCGAATGCGCTGAGCCTACGTGGCTGCTTCTGGTGCTTCGGAATCTTACTTGGCAAAGAATCATGCTTCGTAATTAGGTTTGGACAAATAATATTGATATATTAATAATTAAAATCTAGGTTCGGACATTCCATAAATATTATTGAGTGAACTTATGTATTTTAATATCACTTGTACTAATATAACCTTTTAATTCCTTGTAATTTTACATAGTGAGACACTAAGTGACTAATATATCCCCGACTTTTGATTTGTTTCCTTCAATTACCCATTGAATTGTAAATGTATTTTAAAAGTTGATAACTTTTGTATTTCTTATCGGTTTTACATATATAATATATCAAATTAATCATCTTTTTATGATCTTCGATTTGATATCCATATTGTATATATTGAAATAAATAAATTATATTTATATTTATAATAATAAAAGATATTTATATTTATTAAAATTCATTAGAAAAATAAAATTATTTCTCAATTGATATATTTATGTTTAATGTAGTTATATGTTGTAAGTTAACAAAATTATTATAATATAACACAGGTAAGTCGCACAAAATAAAAAGTGTCATACTAAATATATAATAATAATATAATATATATATTTTTATAAAAAGGTATTTAAATTTTCAACTATTTTTCTCATTAATTTTAGATTTTAAGAAAAAATTTAGCAAGCACCACTAGTGTAATACACGGGAGTTGTACTAGTTGATATATATATATATATATATATACATTTTCAGTAAAATTGATACAAAAAATAATATTTTTCATTGTTTATATTATATTCACTGGTACGTAACCCCGTGCGATGCACGAGCTGTATTTGTTTTGGTAAAATTTATAATTAAAGGCTAATATTAATCAATAAGTTATAATATCGTAGGGCATTTGTCAAGTAATCATAAAATGTTCATCATGAAAAAGTCATACATTGTTAAAATCCTTCTAGTTTTTTCATGCAAATTATTTTGCACTTGACAACTGTAGATCGATATTTGTAGTAATTGCTGATTGCATAGACACCTCATTTCTCTAATTATTTGTTGATTTTCGGATTGTTAACACCACGAAATAAAATTATAATATA